TCTAAGTTCTAGGAATTTAACATAATTAGTTTCCTTCCTAATATAGGATTGTAACTTGTATATATACCTAAGAGATTGTTGAATACAATTGAGAAAAACAATTTTTCCTCCCAACTTACACAGTATCAGAGCAAGGCAAAACAGTACAGTGCGCAGCTAGGGTTTCTTAGAAATTCCAACTTCCGGCCACCAGTGGATCTCACCGCCGGCATGTGAGGGAGCGCCAGCCACCGACCGGCCTTCGCCCCGCAGCCAGAACCCTAGCGCGTAAGCCACACGCACCGCTTGAAGAATCTGCTCCGACCACCACTTTCCCAGAATTTCGTTATTTTTGCACCGTTTTGCTCGCCTCGATGTCCACGACACGTTCTACTACCTTCTTGGGTCAGCATTTGATTATTTGGCTCAGTGTGTGATCTATTTTGGGACATGTTCGGATTTGTCAATTATTCTGACTTTGTTGTGGTTTTGTGCTCGTTATTTGGCTGATATTTGATAATATGAAGGAAAAGAAATTCGTGGTTGTGTCTGATGTGATTCCAATGATGTCAAAAATCACGGAACATAAACTTAATCGATCTAATTATTTAAATTTGACTAAAACTGTTAGGCTCTATTTGCGGAATATTGCAGAATGTAATTTCACGTTCGAGTGCAGAATTAGAATATAGGGCTATGGCTAAGTCTGTATATGAAATAATGTGGATACATCAGCTCCTCACTGAAGTGGGCCTCAAGACTTCAATATCGACTAAGTTATAGTGTGATAACCAAGCTGCACTTCATATTGCATCTAAGCCAGTTTTTCATGAACGAACGAAACACATTGAGATTGATTGTCATTTCGTTCGTGAGAAGATTCAGCAAGGTTTGGTTTCTACAGGGTATGTGAAAACAGGAGAACAATTGGGAGATATCTTCACAAATGCTCTGAATGAGGTTCGGGTTGATTATCTTTGTAACAAGGTGGGCATGATAAATATCTATGCTCCAACTTGATGGGGAGTGTTACAGATTATATTCTAGAATAGGAAATATATATTTGATTCTAAGTCATAGGAATTTAACATAATTAGTTTCCTTCCTAATATAGGATTGTAACTTGTATATATACCTAAGAGATTGTACAATACAATTGAGAAAAACAATTTTTCCTCCCAACTTACAACCACGATGTTTTACCAACTTCTGTCATCATTCCCAGAAAGCCAGATTTCTGCAAACCACCATCTCACTCTACCATTACGTGCTGCTGCTTTGTTGTTCAGTAAGTTCTTTGTTACTGTTCTTCAAATTAAGCCCGAATACACCAAAAATCCAATCCTTAAACCCAAAATAGCCGACCACATACAACCCACCTGATACATACACAGCCCAAGTTTCCTATATTACCTCCAAGCCCATTAACCTTCGGCCCATTATAAACCAACATATTCTTATGCCACAGCCTAACACAAAGGCCCTACGAAAACAGCCCACTTCCAAAGCCCAACAGTTCACTACCCTAACATAATCAAGCCCATAATCTGCACGGCCCAATTACATCAACCAATAACCCAAAACCTAGACAATGTCTTCCCCGATATCCCATAGTGCCGCTGGCATCCACCATCTCCTCATTCTCCAAAGACCACAACCCCAACAGCCACCCTGCGCCACAACTGTAATCTCCATTACACGCTACCATCACCCAGCTGTCAGCCTTACATACAATAAATGAACCCACCTGCTCCAATCGCCGACACGCCCCCCCCCCCCCCCCCCCCCCCCCNCCCCCCCCCACCCCCCCCCCCCCCCCCCCCCCCCCCCCCCAACCTGAATCTTTCGCTATTTTTACTACAATACCACATATCACGACACATAAAGATAAAATTGATTATATTTTAGATGAACAAATTGTGTTGACCAATGATGGAGAGATTCAACTCTTGTTCGTTGGGTAGTTCGACCTGATTCAAATTGTACATGAATTCTCAGAGAGAAGCTCCAACAAATCTGGATCAAGTTATTGGAGTTTCGATATTTGGTTCTTAAGAAAGATTATCCCGGTGGTGGGTGGGAGATCGATTGCCACCTTTTGTGATTTAGCCACTCGACATAATCAAGTTTTTCTCCCACCCCGAGAGAGTTGATGAGAATATCACTTGTTTTGGGCAGTCTTATTTTTTTGTGGACCACTTATGTTTTGTATAGCTAAGTTTGTATTATGGGACGGCCCAAGCCCTTTTGTCTATATGGTTGTTTTTCTTTCTATTTATAGTTTGTATTGTAACTTGAATGAGGCAGTTGATGAATATGAAAATGAATAATATGCTTGGTTAACAAGTTTTCTCCTCCCTGTCTTCCTCCTCTTGTTCTCTTCTTCTCCGATCTCCCTGCCTATTTCTTCTTGTTCTTTTTGCTGTGGTTATTTCTGCTGAATACAGTACATTTCCATTGATTCCTAAATCAGTATCCCATGATAAGTGTCCAATAATTAGAACCAACTACTCAAGACATCATTGTTACTCTTTGCACCAGTAGATTAAAATGCTTCTTCCTTCTTTACAAGGAGCTGAATTCCAAATCAGGGAAAAGCACTGTTTATCAGGACTTTAAGTTTATTTTTCGGTAGGAAGAAATTGAAGCAATTCTATTTAAATCTAGGTGCAGTCGTACTTCTCCACTTGAGTGCTTTGAAATTGGCTCTATCAAGGACAATGTGCAAAGTTAGATACAAAATTTTAACTTCAACTATAGCATAAATGCATGTGGATTCTGCACATTATAGATAAAAAAAAAGTAAATGGATGGGTGTCGGGGGTGGGGAAGAGATACCTTAAATTGTGAGCGTGATTGTGCTTCAAGTCTGTTATAAAAAGCTCGTTCTTCCGTGGAGAATTCCACCCGCGTCAAATGTGTTGTTTTGGGGGGTAAAGTGATTATAGGCACACCATCAATCAATGTACCTACACCACAAAGGCTGATAATCAGCATGGGCCAATATAAATGATTCAACTGATTTTGCACATCCAAATAATAACACGTTGTTTGAATGAAGTAAATTAACAAGCTCATTGAAATGTTGACAACAATGCTGATTAGAGTCCACCACAATCAAAGCAGAAAATTTATGAATGATCAGGTGGATATAACAAAATCAAGAACGCCTGTATGATAAAATCTGTTTCCCAATCAGTATATGCTTGGCGTATCACATTCAATAATGAAAGGAATTTCTACTGATGCACTACCAAAAAAGGGAAGGATAGAAGTCAATCTACAGAAATAAAATCAGTTACCTAGGGGAACAATAAGCAATGTCAGTCAACAAGTTGAGAGTTCAAATATGTATCATAACAAAGCAGAGAGAACATTTTGTATTCATTAACACAAACGCTATTTGTTGAAATTAGAAGTGCAGGATATAATGCTTGTCCCATAGCACATGAATACAAATTATATCATCCCCCCAAACCCCCACACATTACATTTATTTTTTATGCAACACAACAAGCAAGTGTTAGACCAGCATTCCCATCAACTGTGACTTACAACAAATGTTTGATGATGTTAGATCAAACTATCGCTAAACATTAGTGATGGTTGAAAAAAATTCCTATTGGCTAGCAACAATTATATGAGAAGACGATACATAACAATCAAATATTACTCTCGATCTAGAAGTCAGTTATGTTTGTAAGTCAAACAAGGTTCTCAAAACGGGAGTTATACAGCTCACAAGATACAAAGAGAGTTCTATCAACCATAACAAGTCAACAGAGCGAAATTTAAGGATGAAATCCAGACTCAATAAATGCTTCTCTATATGGGCTTTTACTTCCCTTTCCTAATTTTATTAATCAAATTCGATGGTAAGGTCCATGTGTCTATCTATAAATATCCAAATTCTTTCTGCCTGTAGATAACAAGGTTAAAGGTACAACTCACTTCATGCACCAATAAGAACTCATGATCATTCACAAACTAGGAGTAACCTAGTGATTTCGCTTTGTTAGAATGGCATTCTCTAAATCATGTTAACTTGCAAAAACATCTTTACTTTCACAAGAAAGACATGACTTAGATAAAGAGCAAGAGTAAGAACATAAACAAAATGGCGACAATATGAATATACCAGGCAAAGAAAATAATAATTATTAAAGCCATTGTTCTTGGTGCATAAAAATAAGTGTTCTCATTTCTGTCAATGATTGAGAATCTCTTCCAAATTTTGGCTGTTTTAAATCCTTGTGGACGATCTTCACGTCTTTTATGTACAAAGCTAAAATTTCCTTGACACAAATGTTAAATTTCTTATCAATGCATAAGTCACTTTTGATGCGGACATCATCGAGATTTATTTTATTGTTATTGGACTTTATTATTTGTGTTTCATATTATTGGGTTTGTTTTAGCGGGTTGGCCCAAGCCCTTAAAATTAGGTTATTTTCTGCTATTTATTAGGTTTTCATTGTAGTTGACTTTAGTGGGATGACTGATTAATATTGAAATTGGCTTAGCCACGTTTTCTCCTCCTCTCTTTTTTGATTTCCAGTTTGGGCCATTGTACTTTGGGCCCCCATATTTGCTAGTCACTTTGATTTGGTATTTGGGCCTCCATTTTAGTGTAATTTATTTTTAGTTTGAAAAATAAAAGAGAATAGAGTGAAAAAGAAAAAGAAAATATATATATATATATATAGTTGAAAAAAAGGGAGAGTTTTTTTCTAACATTTTGCAGGTACTTCTCTTTAATCTACGGATTAGTTCAATTTCTTCGACAAACAAAACGGGAGCTACTGTTTCTTTATCTTTGGAGAGCAATTACTTCGCGCTCACTAATTTCGCCTAACAACTGGGACGTTACTATCCATCTCTTTAGTCTTCCATTACTGTTTCATTATAAAATTGCGTCAATTAAATTTTTGTGTTGCTATTGTTCCTCATTTACTTACAAATTTACGTCACTAAACCCATAATTATGTTATTCACCCATTTTTATCCCACTTATTTAAGCCCTAACCGTATTATACCCTCAGTTATTTTACACGATTGAATTGTTGTTAGTATTTGACATTTGCTTTATTATTTTACATAGATCAGCGGTAGTAGTTTGCCATATTTGGATCTACATAATCCCATACAAAAAAATAATTAAAAAAATAAAAAAAATCGATTTGTTTATTGATCTCTCTATACATTTCATTTAGCTAGTAGTGCATTGTATGCAATTGCGTAGTAGTCGTCTTGTTACATCTAGTTCCCACAACCTGACCATGGACCTACCTCAACTTGATGCCCTTACTTGTCATTAGCACAACTTGTCGCTAGTCAACAACAGTTACAAACACAAGTCACCGCTAGTCAACAACAGTTACAAACGCAAGTCGCAACTATCCAAACTGAGATTGCCGCTGCTCGAGAGGAAACTAGAGACTTAGCTGCTAGGATGTCCACATTTGAACAAACCCCACACTTGACTGAAGCTGAAAACTTTGACGCGTCTAGTAATAGGCATTATCGTCGTCCCCAAGGTGTCCGACAACATGTTAGGCATAACCGTAGAGATGGACATCACGTTCGTGAACTGGAGCGAGAACATCACCGTCATGATACTCAATCTCCTCCTCGTCAAGATAAACGTTTCTTTAGAAACATTAAACTGACTGTCCCGACCTTTGATGGCTGTTTAGACCCTCGGGTATTTACTCAATGGGTGGGTTAAAGATATGGTCCGTTTCTTCGCTTGGTATGGAGTCCTAGAAGACCGAAGAGTTCAGTTTGCTAGTCTGAAGCTAACCGGTACCCCTCAACTCTTTTGGGAAAGTGTTGAGGAACTCCTGGAGCGTCGTCATGCTCTGCCTGCTGGGAGTTGGGATGAAATGAAGCGTTGCCTTCAAGAGAAGTATCTACCTTAATCGTATAAAGGTCATTTGTTAGATCAATGGAATGCCCTCATGCAAGGCACTCGACCAGTGACTGAGTACGTCACTCAGTTTGATGAGAATGAGATGTCAAGTCGTTGAGGATGAAGCTATGACCTTAAGCATGGTTCGACAAGGCCTCAGAGATGATCTTAAACATGAGCTTGTCCTTCGGGGCGTTGCTACTCTTGACCATGCCTATGCCTTCGTCCGAGATTATGAGTTAGTTACTAGGACTCCGTTTAGAAGTCGTGATGACAACCGTACCCCTGTTTCTTCAGCACCCAGTTCTGCAGCGCCCACTGCGCCCCAAAAGTCTATCTTAGGGCCTTCCCCATCTAAGGGTCCTCTTGTAGGAGAAAATAAAGGTAAGGGTCCAGAAATTCCAAGAACGTCATCCCGCTTGCAATGTTTTAATTGTAAGGGTTTCGATCACATTTCTTCTAACTGTCTTAGTCCAGCCCTAGTTTTGGAAGAACGTGAGAGTAGAGAGGATGGTGTATTTGAAGATCAAGTTTACGAACCTAAGTTTGAAGAGTTTGAGGACTTGGATGATAATCAAGATACATTCTTAGGTTGCATTCGAACCCTTCCAGTGGAGTTAGAGTCAATGCCACTTATCCCAGACACGTCGAGATTGGGTGTTGTATGTTGTACCCTGACTCAGCCCAAAAATGCTGACGATTAGCGACATCATGCCATTTTCCATACTTACATCAAGATCAATAATAATGGATGTAAAGTCATAGTGGATAGTGGTAGTTGCATTAATGTGGTGTCGATGACTATTGTAACCCGTCTGGGGTTGCAATCTGTACCTCACCCTCAGCCATATAGCGTCTATTGGGTTGATACTTCCTTGATAGCTGTAAAGGAACGTTGTTTGGTGCCTATTCAGTTTCTCGAGTATAAGGATCATATATAGTGTGACGTCATTCCCATGGATGTCGGTCACGTCATTCTTGGTCGGCCTTGGTTGTTCGATTTAGATGTAACCATTTATGGTCGATCCAATTCATGCTCGTTCGTATTTAATGGTAAGAAGATCCACCTTAACTCTCTTCCACCAAGACTTGTTAGCTCACATGAAACAAAGAAAAGTGAGGAACGAAAGGGATTACACATCATTAATCCTACGGAGTTTGAACGCACACTTGTGGGCGATTCGGTTGTGTTTGCCTTGGTTGTCTTGGAAGTCTCATCTAGTTCACCATCCGTAGCTCCTCCTGAAGCCCAGGCGATCATTCAAGAGTTCCAGGATGTGTTCCCCGAGGACTTACCTGACGAACTACCTCCTGTACGGGACATCCAACATGCCATAGACTTGGTCCCCGGAGCGTCGCTTCCAAATTTGCCTCATTATAGGATGAATCCTACTGAACACGCTGAACTAAAGAGGCAAGTAGATGAACTCCTTCACAAAGGATTTATCCGTGAGAGTTTAAGTCCTTGTGCCGTGCTGACGCTGTTGACCCCTAAGAAAGATGGCTCTTGGAGGATGTGCGTAGATAGTCGTGCCATCAATAGGATCACGATAAAGTATCACTTTCCTATTCCTAGGCTTGACGACATGTTGGATATGATGGTTGGTGCTACAATATTTTCCAAAATTGATTTGAAGAGTGGGTTTCACCAGATTAGGATCCGCTCAGGTGATGAGTGGAAGAGTGCTTTTAAAACAAAAGATGGTCTTTATGAGTGGTTAGTTATGCCTTTCGACCTAACGCACGCTCCGAGCACTTTTATACGAGCAATGACACAAACTCTTCATCCTTGCATGGGTAAGTTCCTCGTCGTCTACTTTGACGACATTCTCGTCTATAGTACAACGAAGGAACAACATCGAGATCATCTCCAGCAAGTTTGTTCTGCCCTTCGGGCAACAAAATTGTATGCTAATGTCAAGAAATGTTCGCTCTTCACCGATAATTCTGCCCTTAGGTTTCATCGTATCATCTATGGGGATATTTGCCGATCCTGCCAAAATTCAAGCGATTGTTGATTGGTCTAGGCCTAATACTTTGCATGATGTCAGGAGTTTTCATGGCCTAGCAACCTTTTACCGTCGTTTCATCAAGGGGTTTAGCACAATCATGGCTCCCATTACGGAGTGTATGAAGAAAGGGGAGTTTCGTTGGACCTATGAAGCAACTAAGGCTTTTAAACTAGTTAAGAAACGAATGACGGAAGCTCCTGTCATGCACCTTCCTAACTTTGTCAAGGTTTTTGAAGTTGAGTGTGATGCCTCCAGGGTCGGCATTGGGGGAGTCCTTAGTCAGGAACGCCACCCTATCTTTATTTCAGTGAGAAGTTGAACGACGCCAAACAACGGTACTCGACTTATGATAAGGAATTGTACGCAGTTGTGCAAGCTTTGCGATATTGGCGTCATTATTTGCTACCCCAAGAATTTGTTCTTTATTCCGACCATGAGGCCCTCCGTTATCTCACCTCCCAGAAGAGATTGAATTCTAGGCACGGTCACTGGATTGAGTATTTACAGGCCTATTCTTTTGTTTTGAAATATAAGAAAGGTGTTGAAAACAAGGCGGCTGATGCATTAAGTAGTCGTATCTCTCTTCTGTCGATCATGAACGTTAAAGTCATAGGTTTTGAACGGCTCAAGGAAGAGTACGAAACTTGTCCCGACTTTAAGGATATCTTTCTTGATTTGCAAAATGGACAGTCGGATACTGTGAACGGTTTTCACCTTGCGGAGGGTTATCTTTTTCGAGCTAATAAATTGTGCATCCCTCGAACTTCGGTGCGAGATTTCATAGTTTGGAAAATTCATGCGGAAGGTTTAGCCAGTCACTTTGGGCGAGATAAGACCATAGAAGAGATTTAAAGTCAATTCTATTGGCCTAGTTTGAAGAAAGATGTGGCCAAGATAGTTAGCACTTGTAACACCTGTCAATTGGCCAAACAAAAGAGGCAAAACACTGGCCTCTACACACCTCTTCCCGTTCCTGATTGCCCTTGGCAAGATGTGAGCATGGATTTTGTGTTAGGGCTTCCACGTACCCCGAAGAAGCATGACTCCATTTTTGTGGTAGTAGATCGTTTTTTCAAGATAGCTCATTTTATCCCTTGTAGCAGAACTTCAGATGCGTCCAGGGTTGCCACATTGTACTTTAATGAGATTGTTAAATTGTATGGTCTCCCCAAAACCATCATGTCAGATAGGGATGTTAGGTTCACTAGTCACTTTTGGAGAACGTGGTGGCACAAAATGGGTACAAAGTTAAAATTTTCTACTGCCTATCACCAGCAGATAGACGGTCAAAAGGAAGTGGTTAATCGTAGTCTTGGTAATTTATTAAGGTGTCTAGTCCAAGAAAATTTTAGAAATTGGGATTTAATTCTTCCTACAGCTCAAATTGCATATAACAATTCCATGAATCGATCGTTAGGTAGGAGTCTATTTGAAGTTGTTCATGGTTTTAAGCCTAAAAAGCCTTTAGATATCATCCCGATGTCCCCACATGATAGTGTATATGTCAGTTGAAGCATTTGCACAACATCTTCATGACTTGCATATTGAGATCAATAAACTTGAAGCTAGTAACGCATCTTCTAAACTTCGAGCTGATTTGCATAAGAGACATGTTGATTTTAATATTAGGGATTATGTCATGATCCAAATTCGACCCGCGGCGCCTACATGGACCCGCCTCTAAATTGCAAGCTCGTAGCGCTGGTCCTTTTAAAATTTTAAAGCAAGTTGGCCCAAATGCTTATGTTGTTGACCTTCCGCCACATCTTGGCTACTACCATACTTTCAATGTTGAGGATTTAGTTGCTTATAAAGGTTATTTCAATCCCTCTGATGACCCTTTCCTACCTCCATCTGTGGACTTTGACCCGGAATCTCTTGCTACTTCTAACTCATTGCCACACGTCCCAGCACACAAAGATAAAATTGATACTATTTTAGATGAACAGATTGTGTTAACTAAAGGTAGGGATGTTCAGCGCTTCCTTGTTCGTTGGGTTAATCGGCCTGAATCTGATTGCACATGGATTACTAGAGAGACCCTACGGCAGCTTGATCCAGACTTATTGGAGCTCTATCGAAGTCAGCAGAATCTTCATTTGCCCAGTTTTCCTTCCACGCATCCAGGGGATGGTGGGGACACCAGATTCCGACCATCGCTAATACACTTTTATCGATGTCGGAGGAAGCTCGTCCAACCCTTGAGCTTATGGTTGGGCGATTGATTGCAGCCTTTTTCTACCTATCCACTCGACAGGGTCGAGTTTTCTTCTACTCCGGGATAGTTGATGAGGACAATAGCGAGATTTATTTTATTGTTATTGGACTTTATTATTTGCGTTTCGTATTGTTGGGCTTGTTTTAGCGGGTTGGCCCAAACCCTTAAAATTAGGTTATTTTCTGCTATTTATTAGGTTTTTACATCATCGAGATTTATTTTATTGTTATCGGACTTTATTATTTGCGATTCGTATTGTTGGGCTTGTTTTAGCGGGTTGGCCCAAACCCTTAAAATTAGGTTATGATTGATTAATATTGCAATTGGCTTAGCCACGCTTTCTCCTCCTCTCTTTCTTCTCGGCTTCTTCTCTTCTCCTTCTTCTTCTTGTCTCTCTCTTTGATTTTGCATCAACTTTGTTCCCTCTCTTCTTCACATGCAAAGTGTGATTCAGGGAGGAAGAAGGAAAAAAGGAAACAAATAACAGCACATGATTTCAACTATATTTCAGAACCCTAATCACCTCATGCTGTGTGAAGAATTATTGAACTCAACATGTTCTTTCAACCTTAATTTTATTAAACATTCATGAAAAGATTTAATTATCAAATTTATGAACGACCAACTTAACTTTGCTTTGTTGGATTTAAACTATCTCTACACAAGCAATAAAATTTGAAAAAATTTGTGATATGCACATCTAGCTAGATATTGATTTGATGATATTGCTCCAACATTCTCCAATCTGTTTAATTTATATTAAGCAGAATCAAACCAATTTAAGATTCAAATGCTTATACTTTATCAATATTGCAGAATTTCAACTGGATGGTGCCAAAGTGACTATCAAGGTACTTCTACAAGCAGTACATGATGCTTCACACCTAAAGAAATCAATCTGTGACAAAAACAGTGCTTTCTGTAACAACAGATTCTAAAAATTAGAGATCTTTGTTTGATCATTATGAGTTCCATGTAATAACCATACTTCAAAAATCATCCCGACCATGACACCCGCAACAATGCCAACAGAAACTATGGTACCAACACACTGATCACACAGTCCACATAGTCAGAAAGGAAAATGCTACTTTTTCACTGTTCACATATATCGATTAGAACACTATCTGCGTGATTGGGCGTTTTACTTTGGTTTTGATTTGGTTGGTATATTTCTCTACTATTTTATTTCATTACTGCTGGAAAGTCTCTTGTCAGAACAATATATCTATGGCTTGTAATTTGCTAGCACACGCATACAAAGGACTGTACTAAAACCAAACTCTGTGAAGAGTAAAGATCAGATATGAAGAGACAGATCAGCAGCTTTTATGCATAAGAATTGGATTATGCAATCTACTACCATAGTCCTTACTTAGAACCCTTTCCACTCACACTATCTTGAGCAAATATACAGACTATACAAAGATCACAGAAAAATCTAATAATGAAGGAAAATCACCTTTTGTTCGACGCAACATGATCTGTCTTAAGATGACTTGAAGCTTCTTGTAACCATGAACTGCATTCCTAGAGATTGGGAACTTGATGGAAGTACCAAATGTTTTCAATTTATCGTATGGCTGATATCTCAGGAATCTGAAATAGCTGAAGACTTCATCTATAGAATTTTGTATAGGTGTTCCAGACAAGCACCACCTTCGTTTTGCTCTAAGGCTGCAGCAGGCTCTAGCCACCAGCGTTCTGTGGTTCTTTATTGTTTGAGCTTCATCCAAAATCACTCTAGACCATTTCACCCTGGCAAGTGTACCACAATCAGAATCAAAAGAAGACATGTCAATTTCTTTTCCACCCTTCTTGAGGCTCTTCTTTACTGATGACTTTTTCGGTTTCTTGTTCATCGGAAATTCAGAAGATAATCCATATCTTGCTAAATCTCTTTGTTCATCATCATCCTCTTCAACCAAAGGTCGTTTTGGAACTTCATTCGTAACAATGGAATATGTTGTTACAACCACATCATAACCTGCCAATGCAGCAGGATCTTTAGTCCTACTTCCTCCATGATAGACTAAAACAGCAAGTCTAGCTTCAGAAGTAACTTTCTCATCCAGCTCTCGAGCCCACTGTCGAAGAACACTGGCTGGACAGACAACAAGTGTACCTGCTGCAGGCCTCCTACCACGGAATTCGCCCATCGAACAACTTGCTTTTGGAAGGACTGTAAAATCATCAGATTCTTTCGTCCGATTTTCTTCATCAAGCTTAACAACACTAATTTCATCGTCGTCGTCCAAATTCAAGGGTTCGGTTCTGGCATTACAAGAATCTTCAGGTTTAGATTTTGCTTCTGCAAGCCTCTGCTTCTGTATGAGGGCAATCATTGACACAGTCTTACCAAGGCCCTGTGGGAAGCATAATTATGACCTAGGCAAGAGAGTAAAAAATAAAAGAGAAAGTCAACTGTTAATGGTTCTGACCTGATCATCAGCTAGAATCCCACCCAAACAATTAGTGCTTGATTCCTTCTGGAGCATCCATGCCAAAGCAATTTTCTGAAAGATAAGATGCTACTTCTTAGAACCATAAATACCAAAAAGCAACTAAAAGATGTTCAATATGGATACAAGGACCTGGTGCCTGAGAAGAGAAACTGTCAAGATACCATCAGGTACATTAACTTCGGTTTTGGGCTGATGAAGGTCCTGCAGGAAAAACGTTTAAGCAATAAATAAATGATCAACTATCCACTGAATAGCAAGTAATCAAAGATGCTGCTGCAAGCCTGCAACACAGTTTTGCTTAACATAATTGGCAACGTGACTCGTGACCTTTCTAAGGTTTTTAAGTTAGTATAGGCGGTATTCTAAGCCAAGGTGATCATCCTGTAGCCCACTTCAGTGAAAAACTCAATGAGACTAAACACTATCAGTAGTCATTGTCCTAGGTATACAGACCATAAAAAGAAGAATGTGAACAGATATAGAACAAAATAGTTTGTTACGAAGGAGTGCATAGATGTGAATGTGAAAGAACATTTTTGTTAGAAGTTAGTTAATAACCTTAACATTTGAGACCCAGTTATTCTCCATCTCTCAAGACTGTCAGTCCATTTCTGGCAATTTTTGTTGTGCCCAATGTGAATAGTAGGCATGTCCAGGTTGGATGCAACATACCTTATTTGAACATGCATCGATCCATCATAGGAAATGAAATTACCAGATACCACTTTAACCATAATGTGAAATCAGATTTCGACTACAAGTCAAGTGAAGTAATATAGTAAACAAACCAAATCATTGAAACTTTTCCCATCAAACTCCTAGAAAATTGGAAGTATCAAATGAATCTTAATTTTGCATATCCGAAGGGATGAAAGATTAAATAGGTTATCATGAACGTATTATAATCTACTTAAACGGGAAGAGGAGAAAAAGGAATTATCACAAACCACCAACTCCACTGGAAGAAGGATGAACCATTGCAATCTCTATGTGGGACAAAGGTACAAATAAATAGCTTACCTAGCATCCTCATACATTCTGTTTGTTCATAATTTATGCAATAGGACTCTATTAACTTTAGAAGATTTCTGAGGTTGTCTCTTCAAGGACATTTTCAAACACAAATTACCAGAACCTTACCTACTCCAACATGGTTCTCCTAAGACACTCCTAAACTAACCAAATAAGTGTAATCCCCAATAAACACACACAAAAAAATGAAAAAATGAATCCCATTAAAAATCTCACATATCAAAACAAAATATATTCTCATTATTCTTCCAAATATTGCAAGAACAACATCAAGTAGCCTAAATAAATATTATTGAATATGAAAGAATATTAGATTATTGATTCACTAACTTCAACAATTCTGTGGTAAAGCTTTAATTAGATTATAAAAGTTTGGTCAAGCTTTAATCAAAATATACTATTGTTAATGTTAGTAAGATTTTGCTAGTAAAGCTTTCCTATGTTGTACAATACCATCACTAGAAACGTGTGAAGTCTATGGTTAATCCAATAATGAAAGTTACATAAGTGTATGGTTAACCCAATGGTGACAGCTCCGTAAGGGAACGAAGAAGGCTTTTAATGAACAAATGAAGATTTATAACAGCTTTTAGCCTTTTACGTTGATCCTTCCTATGGGCAGCTTCCCTGTACGCGTTCTCTGCCTCATTTCAGTTTACTAGAAATGAGAACTCGTTCTCCTTTATTATTTCATGCTTATCATAGCAGTGTTAATCTGCTAACTAAGTTCGAGCTAATGCACCATTGATTTTTGTTTAACAAGAAAACAACATAGGCATGCAAAACGTTCCACACAGAACCAACACGCAACAACACTAGGTAAATTTTCTGAATTAAATATGCTTGTGTGCCTGTACATGTAACTGCCCAAGCTTGTGCCCAAACTGTTAACTCATACGTACTTTCCATTTTGGGAGAGCTTGTGCCCAACTTACCCATCACAGATATCTATCGCAATCCCTACTATTCGAACCCTTGAACTTTTCAGACACAATCCCAAAAAAGAAGGGGGTGAGCAATGAAGTTCCAAAAAAAAAACTTAAAAAGCCAACATAAATCAGTCAAAATGTATATAAAAGCACTAGTATAATGATCAAACAAGTGCCAACAAAAAGTGGAAGAAGACTTTAAAGCACACCTGCAAAGCTGCTTGGAAAATCAATCTTTCGTCAGCATCTGTGTTCTTTTCTTCACCAACCACGGGATGATGCAGAGAATCATTTGAACCACCATACGGATTGGCCGACGGAGATTTTCCAAGAAACAGAGATGGGGGTAATTGTCTAATGCCTCTGTTTTCATAGAGTGGTGATTCACTAAGATTTACACCAGTAAAATTGTCTGTATTCTTGCCATTAGAAAATTTTGACCATGCAGGCTGGTTATGTTTTGCATAAGTATCAGTAATGGCATTCTCCACTAAATTGTTTGATCTCGCACTAGATGAAGAAGGCTGAAAGGTTGCAGGAAGGGCCCTCTTCAAAGCCTGTAGAGAAGAAGGTACTGCAGAATTTATACCAAAACTACCTCTATTATTTGGATCTCGAACCATGTTTGAACTAGAAGTTCCAATAGTTTCAGCACTACTTAGATGCTTGTGGGGTTTAAACGAAATTTCATCATAGATCTTCGCAGATGGAGCCTTTCGAGAACGATCATTGTAGCCTGAAAATTGTTGAAGGACATCTGATCAACGACTTACACTCTACCGCATTAGGCAGGGTTTACATTCAAGAATTTAGTTTTTACCTGTCAAATCAGAAGTAGAAGATGACCACGGTGGAAGGACCCTAGAACTGGCAGAAGCAGCAGTATCCCTAACAGGAGACTCATCCCTATAATTGTCTATTTCTCGTAAATCTGAGTCACTATCTGATGAACTGATATCTATAGGATTCACTGACGCCATTACAGCTAAAGGAGAATCTTCTGATTCAACTATCAATTCAGAAGAGTTGACATATGTAGAACCGATCTGCAAGTAGAGTCCAAAAACTCAAAGGTGGCATAACAGAGTACTGACATGCATGATCCCATAATCCTAGATGAAATTAATTCACTTTTTACCTGTGAGAAATGTCTCAAAATCTCAAGTACACCAACAAAAATGGAGTAACATTTCTGAGCAAATTTTAGAATACAATGCAAAGGATCCACATTGTCAAGCATCCATGCAAGTTGAGCACATCAAATTCCAAGAACAAAGAAAAGAAGAAACTTAGCAAGGATAACGAGACATAATTGGAAAAAATAATTCATGTCCGCCCAATCCCACACTGGTGGTTTTGATTCCTGAAAAGGGGGGAAAAAGTTCGAAGTTAGCATATAGAAGCATTTCCCAAAGCATGATAGATTTATCAATAATTTTGTAATACCCCAAAAATATGTACAATATATTATGAGGCATAAGTGCAAGTTTTGAGATTTTAGGGTAACTTATCGACTTTACCATTTTCTAGGGACCTCGTGTTAATATTCCTAATCATTGGAGATATATGAGTTTTACACGAAATTAAATTTTAATATTATTTTGGATATGTATTAAATTATTATCAAACTATCTGATATAAAAGTATTTAAATAAAACTTGAAATTTGCACATGTCCACTTTAGAATCTTATATCATCTAGTTGGAATTTTCTTAAATTCAAATTTCATGATAAGTTTGTTTGTTGAAAGACCAATCTAAATTTGAATTAAGAGTCTTATTAGAATTCTAATTAGGTAAACTATCCTTGTCTAATCACACCTATAAATAACCTCTTGTTGTTGCACTTCAATTCACACAAATTCAGAGAGAAAAAGAATGGAGAAAGAGAGAAGAACGGGGAGAGAAAAGAAAGAGAGTGAGAGTGAAAACGTGAGAAAGAAAGAAAGAAAGAAAGAAAAAAAGGAGAGAAAAGAAAGAAGAGGAAAAGAAAAGGTTTAATGGCGCGTTCGAGATTAGTTCGCACGAATTTTCAATACTAAGTATCTCAAGTATACAAGAAATTTAACGAACAAGGTATGGATTTCTCTAAATGCCAAGTGGTTTTGTGTTTTCAATTTTTTTAATATTTCAAGTTAAGTATTTTATGTGCTATTATGTGATCCAAATTAAAGAAGGATCCTATGGGTAATACCATAAAGTTTCACGTAGATTTGTGCAGAAACCAGTCATAAGGCTAGAAACCCTAAGTGGAGATTGAAAATGGATATGACCTAAGTGAGAATGAGACGGAAATGTTTCTATCCCACTAGAAAATTATGTTATGTGCATAATTTACTTGCTTTTTATATTAAATTGTTAAAATACTGGCATGGAATCTATACTGAGTGTATTCGTATGCTTGTTCCATATTTCAAATATTTTTCAGATGGTTGATTGATCAAAGTTGAAGGTTGAGAATTCTGGCATAGTCCATGTCTCGGGTTCAAGAACTTAAATTTTCTTTCAATAGTTAGTTAGAAAATTTTTTTGAAATCGGAATTTTATTTTCAAAACTGGTTGAATTTATATTTAAGTAGTAGATTGGATCAATAGATATTTTGAGACAATAAAATAGTTTATTTTATTCCGCATAATTCTTCAAAGTTTGTATTACAATACGAGTCAATCCACTTTTCTTACAGATAAAGAAATTAATTGAGTAACCTCCGGGACATAAGTTCCAGGACGTTACAGCATTGTATCAGAGCTCAATCAACCTTTCTTGGAGACTATAAAATTAAAATTTTAGATAACTTTATATGTTAAAGTTTCATATAAATTTTGATCAACATGACATCGGAACCTGCATAATCAACTTCTGACTAATGCAATTATTTTAGTTTTAAAGTTAACTAGTGATTGCTTGAATTTGATATATCCTATTTGTAGAAAGGTAAATTGTTATATTTTATAGAAAATTTATCGCCATGTTTATTTCCATGGAGCGTGTTTAGAAATTTATTACTATTTAGTGCCTATGAAAATAAACATAAGTTGTTTCAGAAGGAATGTCCACTGCAACCGAGAGTAAAACATTGAGAATTTTGTTAAATTGTAGGAACTTTGTCATTATTTAAACTTTTATAATGAATGGATCATAATTTCTTTTATTAGAGCCAGACGAGAATTGGAAAAGTAATTGAGTGAAGCAGTAATTATGCATGAAAAAATTACGGAAAATTCATTGTTTGAGTTTTCTTGATTTGCATACTCGCAAAACTGATGGGTTTTGTCAAAAAGGCTTAAACTATCTAAAGTAAGTTTGAGATTTAAGTGGTCCACTTGTGACCCTCCTCCTGATGTAGAAGCCTTTTCAGTTGTGCGTTATTCAAATCAACAAGATGAAAAGTAACATTGCAAAGCTACCAAAAAATAAATGATGCAAAGCCCATTTAGCCAAATTCTATTAGAAGCAATAAGAATATATTGAATCAAAAGAATACTACCCAAGTATTCTATCGTTTTCAGCTATATCGGGTTAGTTGAATTAACTTAAATGACGTCTAATATACGATCCCCATATTTAAGGTTTAGTTGGCAGCTAACTTAGCACAAGAATTACTAACTGCTATGCGAGAGATGTCACAGCAGCAACCACCTCAACAACTATGATGCAGGACTACATTGTTTTCAATTATAGAACAATTTTGCAAGATGCACCCACCCATGTTTGAAGGTGGCCCCGATCCACTGGTTGTTGAAGAATGGCTTCGCCATCTTAAGCGTATCTTCAGGTTTATAGAATGCATTGACGCACAGAAAATTCTTTGTGCGGTATTTGTGATGGAGAAAGGAGGAGGTCATTGGTGGGAGATGACTACTAGATCCCACACCGAGGAGCAACAACGTAACCTTACACAGGCACAGTTCAAAGAAATAGTGCTTTGGAAGTACTTTCCAACTACATTAAACGACAAGAATGAAGCAGAGTTTCTTGAGCTAAAGCAGGGAAACACGAGGCTCACTGATTATGAGCGAAAGTTCGAGGAGTTATCCAGATTTACCCCACATCTGGCGGAGATTTTCCCCACAGCTGGTGGACACAGAGAAGAGACTCGACATTCTGAGTGTAGAATGAGAACTGACATTTGGAAAGTTGTGGTAGTATTCCAATTGGGTATCACAGAGTTCTGGAGAAGGCTCGAGTATATGCCTTTGATGATGACCAGACTGGTGAAGGTAGTAAACAGCAGAGTGGCTCCTTAGACAAGCACAAATGGTACGATAATATCAAGAGGAATTGAAAAGGTCCTTACTTTAAGGGAAGGACGGAAAGATGTGCCAACATCAGTGACAAGAATCAACTATCATACTGTCTAAAATGCCTGGAGAATGCGTGACAAGAAAATGTGTTTTTTACAGATGTGGCAAGCTAAGACACGTTGCCAAATACTGCACTGAGGGATAACATAAGAAGGCTAAAGATCAAAAGGTGGGCAAGGCAAGAGCCAGAGTTTTTGCTTTAACACAGGAAGAGGCAGAGCGTGACTGCAATGTGGTGGCAAGTATCATATCAATCTCTAACATGCATGCTTTTATATTAATTGATTCACGAGCTACACGCTCATTTGTTTCTTCGATATTCGTTTCAAAGTCGAATATAGAATGTGTACCCTTTGATAACATATTAGAAGTATCACTACCGTTTGGAAAGGTGCTTAATGCAAATTATATAGCGAGGAACCTAAATTTAGAAATAAATGGAAAGATTATAAAAACAGACTAGGTGGTCCTAAAGATGAAAGATTTTTACGTTATACTTGGAATGGTCTGGTTGTCAAAAAATCTTGCAACCATTCGTTGTTTCGAGAATGATGTAATTTTTCAATGACCTGGTGAAGAAGAATTTCATTTCTTTGGAACAAGGGTGAAACCTCTCCCCCAGCTTATATCAGCAGGCTGAACGCTTGTTGACAAGAAGTCTGCTCAAAGATTCTTAGTGTCTTTGGCCAAAATTGAGCAGGAGTTAACCACCAACGAAGTTCGAGTGATGAGGGATTTTTCAAAAGTATTTCCAGAAAATTTACCAGGAATGCCTCCAAATCGAGAGATTGAGTTTACTATTGACCTTGTACCGAGTGCCACACCAATTTCAAAGGCCCCTTATCGTATGGCACACTGATAAGGGGCCTTTGAAATTGAAAATAGAGAGAGAGAGAGAGAGAACGTGAGAAAGAAGAAAAAAATGAGAGAGAAGAAAGAAAAAAAAAGGTTTTCTGGTGCGTTCAAGATCTGTTCTTCAATCTTAAGTAGCTCGAGTATACAAGAAATTTAACAAACAAGGTATGAATTTCTCTAAATGCCAAGTGGTTTTGTGTTTTCACCATCAAAAATATTTTAAGTTAAGTATTTTATTTGCTATTATGTGATTCAAATTAAAGTAGGATCTTGTGGGTAATATAACCTATACCTAGATCTACACGGAAACTAACCATAGGGCTAGAGACCTTAAGTGGAGATTGAGAATGGGCATGACCTATGTGAGAATGAGACGGTCATGTTTCTATCCCACTAGACAATTATATTTTGTGCGTAATTTACTTGCTTTTTATATTAAATTGTGAAAATACTGATATGGAATCTATATTGAGTATATTCGTATGCACATTCCATTTTTAAAACATTTTACAGATTCTTGATTGATCAGAGTTGAAAGTTGAAACTGCTGGCAGAGTCGGTGTCGCGGGATCAAAAACTTAAATTTTCTTTCAGTATTTAGTTATAAAATTATTTTGAAATCAAAATTTTATTTTCAAAATTGACGGGATTCATATTTCAATAGTGGATTGGATCAATTGATATTTTGAGACAATAGTTCTTCAATTTTTTTTGTATTACAATACAATGTGTCAATCAACTCTTATAATGGCTAAAGGAATTATTTGAGTAACCTTCGGGACATAGGTTCCGGTGCGTTACAAACTCACTCAAAATAAAGAAATATGCGCTTGGAGAAGAATCAAAGTAGAACAATTAAGCTCATCAAGGCCTCCACTTTGGAATCGAACAGCAAGTTGAAGGCAAATATCATATTCAGATGAAAGAAAATAATCGAGCAAAGAAACCTTAATTTCAACCCGAAATTCAAATGATACAAGCCCCCTAAGAAAACTGCTCTCCAAGATTTCCTTGGTTTTCCTTTTCTTAGAAGTAAAAATATCTCCCACGATATAAAACAATGAGTTTAAGTGCCAATTGC